GTGAGCTCCTTGTTTCTGCCGTCTGTGGTACACCCCGTGCATGTCGGTGAGCTCCTTGTTTCTGCCGTCTGTGGTACACCCCGTGCATGTCGGCCATTGTAAATGACTTCGTGGATCTTACTAACCAAGTTCGTCTATTCTGTTTTACTGTTGTAAAAGCCAGCAGTGGTGATTCATGTATGTTACTTCTGACCCCTAGAAAAATCCCCCCCAAGGTACCTCTTGATTTGGAAACATCTGTATTATACATAAAAACATTTGAGTTCCAATTTTTCTAACTGTGTAATTGCTTGAAATTCTTTATTATCACCCAGCTTCAATAATTATCAAGATTCTGTCATTCTTTTATCAGCTGTACCTCCTCGGAAAGGATATTTAAGTGGCTGTTCCATCTTCCCTATGCTCTTCTTCCAGATCCAAATGGGGCGTGTGACCCTAGTCCCTTACAGGGACAGGACTTACAGCCATCTCTCCCAAGTCCTTCTAATGTTGTTATTTGTGATCTCGAGTTTGATTGATTCCCTCACCCCACACTCATCATCTCTTCCCTTCACTCAGCTCTCATTTTGGTCCTTTGCATCATCTGGCCACATTATGATTCTCATGTGCGTTATGACCCATTGAGCAGCGTTTCATTAATGATCCGAAACTGATTCAGGACAGAGGCTGCTCCTTTGTAAAACAGGAATTAGCTCATATACCAAATTAATCCTAAATTAGCATTCCTCTCACACGCTTCCATTCTCTAATGGATGTGATATAAATGGAGTTGCAATGCATTCCTTGTAATTATGCAAATCTCTGGGTAAACTCATGGGAAGGGGCCTGCCCCTAGTGTCTCCTGACTCATAAAGAAAAGTTGAGAACTGCCTCTTTCCTAGTCTGTAGGTCTTTAAGAGGAGAGATATTTCTAATTCTTGTTTTCTCATCCCTTGTCCTCCATCACACTGACAGCAGTGATTCGCACGGGGCAGGTACTCACCAAATGATTCTTAACTAAAATAAATAAAAATGAATGAATGCAAATAAACCAGGGGCATGTGGACTTATCATTTAGTTTCATGGAAAGAACTATTTCTCATTAGGATTTCTTCCCTTTTCTTTCCCCAGTGACGCTTTCTAAAAATGCAAACTCCTCTTCCTTCCTGACGGTTCACAGAGGTGCCACAGAATATCACGTGTGTGCAGATGGCTGGCAGGAGACGCTGAGTCAGCTGGCCTGCAAGCAGATGGGTTTAGGGTAAGGTCAGTAGTTTGTAGCACTGGTGAATTTTTCAGAGGGCTTCGTGGAACTTGGCAGTAACATCTTCCTTATGCATGCGTCGTGAGATAGCGTTCTCACACAAAGAGCCCTCCCAAGCCCGGGAAAGGATTCAGGAGAGAGGACCACGTTTAAAAACAGACACCTGCTCTGAAGAGAGTGGGTTGACAACTTACATTGGCGAGGCCTCTAAAAGTAAATGAAGTAATTGTTTTTTAAGTACTTCTAAGATGAAACGCTTTCATTATTTATAAAAGCATTATGATGATTTCCTCTGAAGAATCTGGATGGAAAATTCTCGCAATTTTTCCCCAAGAGGTTATTAAAAATTCCTTTTTAAGCACCACATATGTTTAAGTAAATTGAGAAATTGAATTTGAAGTTGCTGGTATTTCTATTTACTCTAAGTAATCCAGAAAACGTAAATCGGGAAATAGTTCGTTTTTGCTCCTTTAATAGAATAAAAAGACTTACTCTGGCTTTGACACAAATACACTGAAAGAGATACTTCAAAGGTTATATACTTGTTATTTTTTGTGCTTTTACAATTCCATCAGAGATGGAGAGCATAATTTGTGGGGTCTTAGGTATATGTATGTCACTACCTGTTAGTAACAGAGTTTCCTTGTGGGATAATGAAAATAATTTAGTGGTGATGGTTGTACAATACGATGAAAACACTAAATGCCACTGATCACCAGGGCGGCAGGTTCGAACCTCCCCTGGGCCTGATTAACAAAAAAAGAAAAATAACAAAGAAATGACATGAAGGCTATGTTAACCAGTTTCATGAAGATATTTCAAATTGTATATGAAAACATCACACTGTACCTCATGATTGCATTAATGTACACAGCTATCATTTAATAAAAAAAAGCTACTGAACTATATGCTTTAACATAGTCAATTTTATACATAAAATTTATTTATACAAAAATTTGCCACCGATGTGTATGAGAATTGGGGGAAGTACAGAAATGAGAGAGATGAAGGATAGGGAAGTTATAAATTCTAGAATAAAAGATTGAGTAACTGGCATTCCCTAGTAGGTACACTGGAAATAATTTCACAATAATAAGTCATTCAATGACAGGATAGTAACTAGTGGCACATGCTGGTCATCCAGATTAAAGAGTGATGGGTCTCCTACCATACTGACCTCATTTCTCCCAAGTAAAGACCCACATCTTTGGAAAATTGAATAACTGATGCTAATCTACAATAAAATAATTTTGAACTTTGACTGAAAATGTTACATTTGTTCAGATCAATTAGAATATTCTTTCTTTTCGCAACTTCCTTATTTCATCTGTGAAATGGGGTCTGATCAGGCTCAGAGAGAAATGAAAAGCCTTTTGAATGTGCTTATTTTTATCCTTCTTCTCTCCAAGACCCATTTTTTTCCTTAATGTAAATACTTTATGACATAACGAAAGACAATCTTATGGAGAGGCCTAAAGGAAAGTCAGGACTACAAAGATTTTACAATCAAAAAGCTCCTTTGACAAGCCATCTTTAAAGTACTTGTTCTATGGAAAATTGAAGAGGTCTTGTTTTAAATATTCTACTTCATATTTTTTCTATAATAATTGTATGCATGTTGAATTTTTATTGTGGTAAAATACACATAACATAAAATTCAGCACATTAACCATTTTAAAATGAGCAATTGAGTGGTATTTAGTTTATTCACAATGTTGTATGGCCATTATCAATCTATTTGGAGGATATTTTCATTACCCCCAAAAGACTGTGTATCCATAAAGTGGTTGTACCCTTAGGCCTAGACAACTACTAATCTGCTTTCTGTCCTTATGGATATTTTAATATAAATGGAAATATACAATATATGATCTTATTTTGGTCCTGTTTCTTTCACTTAACATAATGTTTTGAAGCATCTGTGTAGTAGCATGTATCAGTAATTCATTCCTATTTATGGCTGAATAATATCCCATTGAATGGCTATACCATATTTTGTTTATTCAGACATTTGGGTTGTTTTCAGCTGTGCATGTTAGACTTTTTTTTGCACATTAGTTTTTTTGCATATTAGATTTTTAAAAAATGCTTTGCTCCCTTTTCACAACACAATGGGAAAATAAAACTTCCACATTTTAGGTGTATTTAGATATATAAATTTTAATAGACATACAGATATTTTAATTTTAGATAACTTTATTTTAGAGGAGGGTTAGAAAAATCTGAGATAGAGGTGTGGTTGGAAAACCAAAACCATTATGTGTCAGAGTTCTTAGGTCGGGGGTGAGTAGTGGCGTGTCTTCCTAGTCAATGAGTATGAGTGTTTACTGGGCCTTTTGGCTGCCTTCAAGTTAACTCTTGAGCTTTCCTGTGGCTTGTGAATAGACAGACGTCAGGAGAGGCAGGCTGGGACAGGAATGAAGGTACTAGGAAGGAGGTCAGTTCCTCCTGTGAGACGGGGCTACTTGGCCACCACCATCTCTGGAGACCAAATACTGTGCTGCAAATTCACAATTCTTCCATCCATGTCTCAAAGAAATTCTAGATAACGCTGAACTTTTGAGTCATACCCTCCAGATCAAAGTCTTCAGTAGGAGGGTCTTTGGCCAGACTGGCCTACTCTGCCAAAGACAGGTGAGAGAGAATGGCTGTCCTCCTTCAGCCTCTGGAGTGTCCCCTATCCTGGCCAGTTTTTATACTTTCAAGCATATTCTTCATTAAAAACTTGAAATTGAAAAGAAACCTCCCCAACTAACTCTATTCTATATTCTCCCTCTCTGTTTTGTTTTCTGAATATCTGTTTATGGGCCATGTACTGGTCTAGCCATTGGGTGAAAGATGCAAAGGTGAATAACATCATCGGAGTTTATAATGTGGGGGAACAACAGAGGGGCCCATAACCAAGAATATAAAGTTAGAGAGGAATTACAGATTTTTTGTCATCTGAGAATGGTTCAGACTTACTGCATAGCATGTGACATTTCTATTAAAATTATATAAGAAAAGCATTACAACTTTAACCTTATCTTGATAGTCTAACTTCATTAAGTCATTCATTCATTCATTCCATGACCATGGTCCAGAACCAATATATTTTAACTCTAAGTGGGTCATTCATCTCCTTGAGGGGATACATTTTTGAGCTAATTCATTAAGGATTCACATCTACATCAAATTACATGGATTGCAGAGATTCTACTGAAATGATTTCATAGGAGAAGCATTTGATTAAAAACATCTGCACTCAGGGTTTCAGTAGACCCCAATCATGCCTTCTCTGTATTATGGCACAAATGATAGGCTCTCAACTAAGTCCTTGTCTAAATGGGAAGACTCAGAGTTCTTTGTGGAATCTGAAAATCTTTTTACTTTCATCCATTGCTATCTCAAGGGTTCAGTTCCGGTTGGAAGTATGACGACTATCTGATCAGACAAATGTATAATTTAAGCCCCTCCATTCTCATGACAGTATGTTGACTTTGCTACTTGAATGCTTAGTATCAAAAACATATGGTATTCATTTAATCAACAATGCAAATCAGAATGTAGGCTGCCCTCTAATACTTGCCACATGCTTAGTGGAGATATCTGGCATTTGAGTAAATTAGTCCAAAGAAATGTGACTCTCTCTGTCTCTTGGCTCCGCAAGATCTATTGCTATATAAAGTCTGCAAACGCTGTGTCTGGAGTCTGTTATTTCGATGAGAATTGTTGTGTGGGGTGAGTTGCAATTTTATTTTATGCCCTAATCTCTTTGAGTGTTAATCAATAGAAGAAACATCCTTTGAAAGGATGTCTATGTCTATATCCAGGCAAAAGAGCCGAGACAACATCTGTTATAGTAATACTAGGCAGTTCCTAGAAGTCCCTGTTACAAGGATTTACACTGTAACTTCCTGGTAAAGTTTACTTTGCAGAAGAATTTTCTAATTTCAGCTTTCTTTGGTCATGTAAGAACCACTTCCTCCAGGATGGTCTTCTTTGTGACTGACGTCCATGAAGCTCAGAGACGGATCCCTGTAGTAGTAACTTCAGCCCAGGCTGCTGACGGTGGAGAAGCAGCTCTAAATGTGGTCATTGCTTTTAAAAGATTGAGATATTTTATATTTATTTTATATTTTATATACTTTATAATTCATATACTCTTATCGTTAGTACATTTAGTCAGTTGTTTCTGGTATATTCACAGGTATATACAATCATAATCATTGCCTAATTCCAAAATATTTTTATCACTCCAAAAGCAAACCTCATGCCCATTCTCATTTTTTTCTCCCCTGACCCCTGAGACCACTAATGTACTTTCTGCCCCTGTGGATTCTCCTCCTGTGCACATTTCACATAAATGGAAGCACGTGATACGTGCCTTTCACGTCTGCCTTCTTCCACTTAGCATGGTGTGACCAAGGTCCATTCATAACATGTCTGGGTGTGTCATTCTTGTGTATGGTGAATAATAGTCCCCTGTATGGATATAACCGCATGTTGATTATCTTTCATCAACTGCTGGGCATTTGAGTCATCTTCACTTTTTGGTTTTTATGCCAAGTGCTGCTCTGAACGTTTATGCACAGGTTTGTGTGTGGACATGTGTTTCCAGTTCTCAGGGACTAGACTAGACTAGGACTAGAGTTAATGGGTCAAAGAGAAGCACAGTTAGTTTTTCGAAGAACTGACAAACTGTTTTCTGAAGGAGCTGAACCATTTTATACTCCGCTAGCAATTAATGGGTGTTCCACTGCCTCCATATCCTCCGCAGTACTTGTTGTTATCCATTTTCAGATTCAGGCCTCCTAGTGGGCACGAAGTGGTACCCGACTGTGATGTGATCTGCATTCCCCAATTGCTGATGGTGTTGAGCAATCAACATGGGCTGCCTGTGCATCTTCTTTTGAGAACTTTCTTTTCTAATCATGTCTGACTAGTATTTATTTCCATTATCTATTACTAGGCAGTTCCTAAGCCCTGTGATGTTCTTTCCAAACGTTCATTCTGTT